CCTTTTACCAGACAAGAAAACACGGTGATTCAAACATGTGTTGTAGCCTCTTCTGGGATTGCTTTTAGCAGTAAGTCAGAAATCTTTGTTCGATTTTTAAGTCTTATTTGTTTTCGATTTGCTTATGCATATACGTTTTCTATCCATTTGATTATGTTATCAAACTCTAGACAAGAAAAGATAGTCTAAAATAATGGCCATATCGCCAAAAGGAAAGAAAGACACTCAACTATTGTAGCAATTAATCTTTTACCTAATTAACGAAGATTACTACAAGGAAAATTGCCTTTTACAACAGGCAATGAACGTTGCCATAGGTATTTTGCAACGTTCACTCGTACGCTATGACTTCGATATTGTCGTAGAGTAGGCGAATATGGCAACAAACATATACTTTGCAAAAAACCTCAAATGCACGTTGTTGTTACCTTTTTACAACGTTCATTTGCTTGTTGCCGTTAATTGTGTTAGCATCTTCTCGGGGGTATCTATCATCAATGAAGCTATTTTCAGTGAATTATGGATTCTATCAATGCTACGTTGGAATTTCAACTAAAAAGATTGTGAAAAATTAACAATTTATACATACGTTCATATCTTCAGGTGGGACAGCGAGTTATCTGTTAGGAATGAGTGCAAGGATAGCAGCTCAAGCAGATGCAGGCAATACTCCAATGAATGTGAAGAAACTCTCCCTTGGCTGGATAATTGGCTTTCTTTTTACTGTCAGCTTTGTTGGTCTATTCTCAATAGTGCCCTTAAGAAAGGTATATACATACATATATGAAGAAATTATATACATTGAAAATTACTATTATATATTCTCAATTTTAATCAATAATCTTATAATTTTCTTTGAAATTTTCTGATCAGATGATGATCTTGAAGTACAAATTGACGTATCCAAGTGGAACTGCTACTGCATACCTTATCAACAGCTTCCACACTAGTAAAGGAGCCAAGCTTGCCAAGTATATATATGATTTTAACTTCTAATTTATTTTTTCTTTCATAATTTATGCTATTAATTATAATTGAATTATCTTTCTTCGAATGCAGGAAACAAGTTAAGACGCTATTCAAGTCCTTCACTTTTAGCTTTATGTTCGCGTGTTTTCAGTGGTTTTTTGCAGCCGCTGATGGCTGTGGTTTTAGTAGCTTCCCTACTTTTGGTCTTCAGGCCTTCAAACAAAGGTATGGTTGCCCTCTCTTTAAGTTTTCTGTCTGGATGCTTATAATTAACCATTCATCGTATAATGTGCTCAAATCTACTTGTTTTTGTGACCAATATACACTGTTCGTGTAGTAAAAAACTTGGTGCATATTTGGTCCTATCCTATTCTTTCTGCAAAATTGGACTTCTTTCCTTAGATATATAGAAATGAAGATAATAATACTTGAAGTATAGTAAAAAGACATGCTATCCTTTTAAGAATTTACGGGTTATGGTCTTGAGTTTCCTGATTTTATTTTTTTTGTCAAATAGTAAGGATGTTGGACAATTGAATGCTCGTAAACTAATTGATGTTTGAAATAAGATTTGATATATTCTTCCTGCCACAGGTTCTATTTTGATTTCTCATCGACATATGTTGGTGTTGGTATGATTTGCCCTTACATGGTCAATGTCTCATTACTTGTTGGAGCCATTGTTTCATGGGGAATCATGTGGCCTCTGATTGAATCCAAGAAAGGCAGCTGGTATAGTGCTGATCTATCTGCAAGTAGTCTTCATGGAATCCAAGGATACAGGGTAAGTCATATATATATAGACTTGTAATGTGAACTGTACAATATTGCCTCGTCCTGTATTATGTACCAATTATATTATGACTCTAATTATTCGAGCTGTGTTGATCTCAACAGGTTTTTCTGGCCATTGCAATGATGCTTGGCGATGGTCTGTTCCATGTTGTCTACATGATCATTGTCACATCAAAAAGTTTCATAAATCGCAAGTCGGAGAAATATGATAGTGAGGGAGAAAGCACTGGAGGAGACTATGACGAAAAAACAAGAACTACATACTTCTTGAAAGACCAAATCCCAAATTATGCAGCCATAGCTGGCTACGTAGTGTTTGCAGTCATTTCTATCATTGTGGTACCACTTATCTTCCACCAGCTGAAATGGTATTTTAAGTGGTGTAGCATAATTTGTTTTTTCAATATTTACATATTTGAGTTCGGATTAAACTCATGTCTATTAATGCCAAAATAAATCTAACAGGTATCACATACTGGTGGCCTATGCAATTGCTCCAGTCCTAGCCTTCTGCAATGCCTATGGATGTGGCCTAACAGATTGGTCATTGGCCTCCAACTATGGAAAAATTGCGATCCTCGTTTTTAGTGCTTGGGTCGGCCTCGATCACGGCGGGGTTCTTGCAGGCCTGGCTTCTTGTGGTGTGATGATGAGCATCGTATCAACAGCATCTGATTTAATGCAGGATTTCAAGACAGGCTATTTGACACTTTCATCACCACGTGCCATGTTCTTTAGCCAAGTTTTTGGCACTGCTATTGGGTGCATAATGTCACCTTTGGTCTTCTGGTTCTTCTACGAAGCATACAGTGTAGGCGACCCCACCGGCTCCTATCCGGCTCCCTACGCCTTGATGTACCGCGGAATAGCCCTTCTTGGAGTCGAAAGCTTCTCCTCTCTCCCCAAGAATTGCGTGAAACTGGCTATCGGATTTTTCGTTGCAGCTATAGTAATCAATGTGATGATTGAGGTGCTGAAGAAGATTGAAACAAAGTACAGAATCTACAGGTTCATTCCTAGTCCAATGTGCATGGCCATTCCATTCTACTTAGGTGCGTATTTCGCCATCGATATGTGCATCGGGAGTGTGATTTTGTTCCTTTGGGAGAAGAAGAACAAGAAACAGGCTAAAGAACTCGGCCCTGCTGTTGCATCAGGCCTCATTTGTGGTGAATCTTTGTGGGGAGTTCCTGCTGCAATTCTTGCATTGGCAGGTGTTAATGCGCCAATTTGCATGAAGTTTTTGTCTGCCAAGGCAAATGACAAGGTTGATGGTTTTCTAGGAGGCTGATTCTTTGGTTGGATCATGGAAATTTATGTTTTCTTTTGTACTTCAGAATCTTTGTTTTTTAAAGTGTACTGCTACATTGTTTATAATTTTTATGTGTTCTTTTACATTTGGTTTCGAATCTACATTAGGGTTGGTTTGATAGGAGATTAGCCATTAATTCATTATTGCCATGTTTATGATGAACGCTTTACTTATTTATCTCTTAGTCCCTGTTTGATAGGATTTATTTTTCGTGGGAACTTAGAAATGAAATTCCATCATCCACCAAAAGTCATGTTTTGATTGTGAAAATTTTTTTTGGCAATTCATTTTCTACAAAATGCCTCACATGGTTCCAATTCCATGATTTTCCAGCGTATTTTTTTTTTTTGGCACTGGAAACAAATTATATTCTCAATTGTAACAAATTATATTCATTTAATGGACAATTTTCATGCAAAATAAAGCCAAACGAACACCAAAAGATCCAAAATTTTAATATTTTCATTTGGAAAATTATACAAATCAAACACAATTAATTATCAATTCCTAGAAAAATAATTCTAGTCAATTCAATTCCCCAGAAATTCATATTATTTCCACACAAATTTCACTCTTGCAATCAAACGAACTCTTAGGGCTTGTTTGATTCACCCAAATTTTTCATGGAAAATGGAAAATAAATCCCAACTTTCACTTTTGCCTTGTTTGATATGATTTTTTTTTTTTGGCCATGAAATTCATTTTCTTGGTTTGGCTCACACGGTCACCTTTTCCTTGGTTTTGTGGAAANTTCAACCGTAAATCGGTCACAATTTTGAGCGATTTTCCTGCTTTTTTTTTTTTTTTTTTTTTTTTTGTAATTGGAAAAAATTCTAAAAACAATAGTAAAAAATTTATCACTTTTATTGACAATATCCATGCAAAATAAAGTCAAACGAATGATATTCGGTATGGTAATTTTTTTGGCAATTAAAACAAATTCTATACCAAATTGTAAAAAAAAATTATCACTTTAATGGACAATTTCCATGAAAACGAGGCCAAATGGACACCAAACTTTCAACATTTTTTCGGGTGGAAAATTATACCAATAAAACACAATTAATTACAATTCCCAGTAAAACAAATTCCAGACAATTTAATTCCATATAATTCATTTTCTTTCCACCCAAATTCCACATTTGAAATTAAACGGACCTTTATTGTTATTTCATCGTTTGCGTTGTGACTTATTGTCCATGTTTGATGAAATTAGAAAAGTTGATAAAAATTTAAATCAATGTCGACAATTAATTTTAACCAAATATTTTATAAAATCCAATAAGTAATTGCAGTATTTTTGCAACGCAAACATCTTTTCTTGACACCATACGGTTAAATTAAGTTTCATTTTTAATAAATTTAAGCACGATTGTTTCAACCTTTTCTTGTTTTAAGTCATTTGTCCATCCACAAACAAGTTAACTTTACAAACCTTTTTACGTCAAGGCATTTGTCCAGAGTTACGTCTAACAAGTTATTAGATTATAACATACAAAATTTTACGATTTTAGTGAGATTGCTCATAAAATAGTTTTGGCGTTGATAGATTGACTAAAAAAGAATAATTTTGCATTATTTTCTTCCCTAAAGGCAATCAATAGACCTTGTATAATGTTTGTTATACACAATTAAATTTATGATATAAAGCAAACCTACTAAAAAGGGCCCAAAATTTGCAGGGGCAACAATTTCTCAACCTATATCCATTAATCTAGTAAGGAAAAGCAGTGGATAGCTCTTTTCTGTTGCTCCATATTTCCTTCTATCCAGTTATTTGGGGAGTTAAAATGGAGGGAATTAGCACTCAACTCCACATGATGTGCCACTCTTCAAGATAATAAAGCTGCAATCTTACCTATCCTGCCATGGAACAAAGATAGCAACCAATTATTCGGGGAGTTAAAATGGAGGGAATTAGCACTCAACTCCACGTTATGTGCCACTCTTCAAGATAATAAAGCTGCAATCTTGCGTATCCTGCCATAGAACAAAGATAGCAACCAATGGGATTAGAACCGGAAGCCCAATTCCCAGTAGAAAATATAATTCGAGCACATAAAGAGAGTAAAAATTTCACTATAACGCATCAATTGTCAGCCAAGACAGGCTATTCTTAGAAATGGGTTGCTAGATTTTATACAGGATGTTCACTAATGTACAATGTTAAGACTCCAATAAACAATTGACATATTACGTAATTCAAGTTATGGCATAGACTATTTTCAAAATTATTATCCATCCGATGAGGTGTTTACAAATGGGATTGGGTCTGAGTAAGGCTAGGGGAGTTACTTGACTTGATCTGCAGTTGAGTACATAAATATTTTCCTACCTTGCTTTTCCCCAAGAATCCTCATATAAATATATATATATATATAGAAGGTTTTCTTCACCTCCTCATCTAGAAGGAGCTCATCTGAGTGCACATGCCCAAAAAGGAGGACCCCTCGTGGTAAGCTCGCCTACAACACGAAATTATGCTTCGTTACCGATAAATTTGAGACCAGCTAAATGAATCCTTTCTCGTCCCTCCATTCATTTCTACTCAATGATCTCAACAACTATATACTAGGAAACTTCAACTTGTCATGTTAGTTTTAGTCTACCCTTTCCTCTTCTAGTCCGCAAATAAACATTCTTAGCCTCAGTTTAGAAAATAAAGAGAACTGGAATCACGGTCAACTGACAGACCTTCAAACTTAACCACCAGCATAATTTAAAAGATGAAATGCAGCCTAAAACTTGACACTTTTAATGTTATTCTTCCAAAGGGAAAAGAAAATAAAAACCCCAAATGGAGAGGCAACCCATCTTCACTCGTAGAGAATAGAGATATTGGTGATAACAAGTTATCTTCATGGAATTGGACAGTTGAGGGTCAAGCCTGGGGAGGCCTTTTAGTATACCCTTCAATGTTCAACATGTAGAATTGTGTTTCTATTATAGCATGAGAAACTTGGTTCAGCTATGCATGTAAATCATTTTCACCAATAGCAACCTACCTCGCAAAGAATAATGAGAGAAGAAAACAATTTAAAAATAATTTCCACTGCATGCATTTGGATAAAAGAAAAGCACCCAAGAGAAATTCAGGATTCAATAATTTACTGAAGTAGAACATAATGGCACCTCTCAGCAATTTCACACGACCTATATCACGTCAAGGATTGAATAAACCAGAGTTTCCCATATTCATAGCTACAAGGATTGAGATACTTGTAATCACGGCAAGCCAAAATAAGGCCGATCCTGCATTAGAGGTATCATTAGTGACACTCTGAATAAAGAAGAAAAATCCGAAGAGTAAAATTAATTAAAATTACGTAGTATATGATTGATTATTCACAAAAATACCTCTAGAACTACCAGAATCACTTTCCGAAACTTCCTGGCTGGATCCAGCAGACAATTTCGGTGCTGTCTCAGTATTAGCACCTGCATCCTGAGACTTGGTATTCGCTGTTTCTGATGTCACTATCCCTCGGAATTCCTCACTTACAATTAAAGCTGCTAGAACATCCATAAAAGATTCTGCATCTGTTCCAATCGAGTTATCCTTCCCACTCTGCTCAGATGTTGAAGCATCCGAAACATCAGAGAACTCATCATCTGAAACATCTGTATCCGTAGATCGTTTTTCTGTTCTTTCATCTTCTTCATCCTCCACATATGCTTTATATGTCAACCGTAGTAGGATTTCTCCAGCAGTTCCTTTTCCAAACAGGGTCCATCCTCCTCGTAGTACCACAATCCTGTCTGTTGGAACAGTATCTTTCAGAGATCCAAGATCAACCTGGAAACAGTACTTAATCAAGTGGTTGTATTCTTTAGAGTCGTAATATCCTTTTTGTGGGTTCTTGACAAGTTCAGTTGCATAATGTTCATATCATCTAATGAAAAATAGCACGTTCTTCAAAAATTCGAACCACAATTTGAAGACCTGAATAAACCTTTAACAGCTAGTATATTTGAAAGAAAACTACATTCCTTGAACACTCCAAAAGAGAGAAGCGATGCAAACTCAATAACAGAAAAGCAAAGAAAATGAAAACCATGACAAGTGACATCACATTATTTGTTGAAATACTATTTCAAAATTAAATATATATTCCAAGTAAAGAAGGAAACCTGTTTTCCCCTTTTTAATTACTAATCCCTAGGAAAATTTCCTGCAAGTGCAAATAGCATTTTGAGCCTCTAAAGTGTTTTAAAGATGAAGCCCCAAACAATTTTGTTTTACAGTGATGAGATCACAGAAAATGGAGGAATATTTTTGATAAATTATTTGGTGAAGGCATAGCGTGGATATTGGTATATAGGAATGTTATTATAGTAGATGAAATCTGTTTTTGTGTGTGATGGAGGCTATGAAGTGGATGAAGATGAGAAATGCAATTGGTCCACATGCAATTCTGACCAAAGAACTTAAGTGTTTGGGCGAGGTGGATACTATAAATTGGATGAAATTGTTTAATGTCTAATGATATCTCAGAGAGTGAAAGATGCAGGAAAGCCTATGATAGGTTGGCTCAGGAAAATGCTATAGTGAGAGTCTAGAGACATAATTTCTACTAAACATAACAATATTGTTAAGGATGTGTATGATGGAGCAGTCATGAGCGCAAGTTGTAGTGGCGATAATACTAGAGAGTTCCCTTTGAATATAGGTTCTCATCAGGGTACTATTTCAGGTACTTGTCTTTTCAGTTTAGTTGTAAGTCCTTTAACTACTTGCATTTCATCTAACCTTAAATATTGAAGACATAATTTGGGACCTCTCTTCAGGCCACATTTCTCTGTGAACACCAATTTTTCAACTTAATACCTAAGAGGATGTTCGGTGGGGATTAAAATTAGATTTTTAGTAAATTGTGATAGAAGTTTTTGAAATGTGTAGTTGAAAAGTTGTGGGACTCATGAAAGATGTGGTTAATATTGATTGTTTGACTTTGACTTGGATTAAAATCAGATTTTAATCCGAAACAAACAGGGCCTAAATATTTGGGTCAATACAAAAGTTAATATATTAATTTTGGAACATGGGCTAAATTTAAATATCAACAAGTTACAACTTGCATACATTATATAACAGAAACAACAGGGCTGTTAGGAAGGATCACACAGTATGATCTTCATATAAGCCAATAAAAGATAAGGGATATAATTTGCCAATTTAAGATATCTTACCTCGCTGGTACCGACAGTCAAATCCGCAAATCCAAGAGAATCCTTTACTTCAATATATAATTTCTCTTTCCTAGGGTTAGCAACTAACATGTGAAAATCCTGTGAAGAGGGAAAATTGTATTATAGTTGGCAGCAGATACATAATTTCTGACAATAATACATTAATTGAACAGTTCTTTATTAGTACTGTAGTCTCGGCAGATGGTTGGATGTAGAAGAAGGGCTCACCTGATTCCAGATTGGCTCACCAGGAGGCCCAATGACAGTAGTTTGGCTGTTTCTTTTACTACGTATTACTTGATCTCCCAATCTCAGAACAACATATGGATCTGTTTTGCCTGAATATGGAACAAGAGCAATTCTCATATAGACATACAGAATTATATTGTTAGGTAAGGAGCAAAGCGCATTTAAGAGAATCAGCAAGCAGCACTTGCAGACAAGCTAATTCCAACTTATGCAAAGAACAGAGAAATGTTCTGCTCAAAGTGGGTATTCAAATATGATATTTAGAAGCCACGATGTAGAGGAAAAATTCATACCATAAAAAATATAAGTGAGTTTCCTTGCATCCAGAAGAGTCACTGACAATTCTCCGGCAAAGTCATTATTTCCCTCTTGAATTTCTCCAGATCTCAAATCAACTGGAATAGGTCCAACAGATTTTCCCTTCTGAAAATCTAGCACAATCTTATTTGGGCGCACGAATAACCGAGGTAAATCTTCAGTGAGAAGTTTTGTCAAAAACCTGGAAAGCTAAAATTATTTAGTTCAGATTAAGAGAGAGTTAAATTTGAAATTAATAACAAACTGACATGGTAATAACTAAGGAAGTATTACAAGTAAAGTCAAAAGGCCAGCACTACAGAAACTCTGAACTGCTGACAGAAAGTATAGAAAATCAAGGTATAAGGGATTCATTTTTCTGGAGTTATATAGTAGCAAGTTCATATAAGTTTACAATTTCATTCTAAAAGATACGATAACTATACGTGCTATCAAAACATAATTCAGAAAAATGATGTGCTTGTGCACACACGTAAGATACTCAGGACAAATTTCGGGTGCAGTAAGGATAATGAGATTCACAGAATTCATAGCCAAAACAATCGCAGAGGAAGCTGCATGTTTCACAACAATTTTTGCAGTTCACTTTCCCTCAATTAGAAGCATGACATAATATAGAGGGGGCGAAAACAATTTCCTCGATCTTTCTTTTTTAGAGAGGCATTTCCTTGGATCACACAAGTCCTCCCTCAAATGTTACAGTTAACAAAAAATTAGTCTCACCGTTTCCCAAGACATTGTTTATCTAATCTGCTTCAGAGGAAAACATAATTTTTAACACCTATGATCAATTTTTTTAAAAGCTGACAATGGACTGATATTTACAAATCAAAGAGCAAAAGAGTGCATCATCATTAGGTTTATCACATTAAAAAGCAATATTCTTTAAACTCTCAATAAAAATTATTATGAATAAACAAAATTAAATGACTCGATAAACTAGAATAGAAACAAAGAAAAATTCCAGTTACAGCACTGGGGGACAAATTCAACAAATCTTAAATAACAGCCAGGGAAAAAAATCACTTACTTTGAGAGGACAGGAATTGCTGATGTTGCCAAAAACACCATGAAAAAGGAAAACATTAAGAAACAAAAATTAGCATCGTGTAGGCTAAACAAATCCAATCAATCTTGTCAATCACAAGAACTACACGAAAATATACAGTGAGCAGAAAGTAGACCAAAATTTTATACTAATCAATCTCAATAGGTTAGCCAGATTCATTGGACATCATTAATTATGTGTACACACTTATTAATAATTAAAACATACAGGTGAGAAAACATATCTTTAACCCATCAATCTCCATAGACCGCACTAGTTTTCAAATAATGGAGTCTCCTAACGAGAATTGGAAAATGCGGAAACTAAACTAAACTTAGAAAATTGTTTCTCAGTAATCTATCAACTTCTTTCTAATATTTCCCTTAATTTTTCTAGCAAGTTAAATAAAATTATAATTTTATTACGTAAAGCCACTCCTAACATCGCTTTTGAGTCACCAGGGAGCTGTTACAACATCATCCATAGGGAGTCACGTCATAGAAACAATAGAATAGTTATCTAAGACCCCGTTTGATTGCCATTATTTGGGATATACAATGTTTTGAATAGTGAACTTTTGGAGAATGTATGGTTAAAAAGTAGGAAAAAGTTTGGGGTTTACATGCAAAATATTTTATTGTGTGAATATGTGTTTGAAAATGAATACGTAGAAAAAAAGGTTTTAAAATAAAGGATGTTAAACAGGGACTAATTCTACACGCTACAATTTCTTATAACCAGAACATGAAACTTCATTAGTAAGAATGTTGGAAATCACTGATATAGAGCTTAGACAAACGACGTTATGATACAAAACATAACAGGGCAACAGCAAACACCAACATAATGTGCATGACAAAAGAAACTGATAAACCATTTCTTCAAGCTACCATTTTAACATATTAGTTTTTCCTCTCACGATTTCAGAGACTCAGTCATCGAATAGGGAATAGAGATAATTGATTCAATCCTTTTTCATTTCGAACAAACTGACACTTATCTCCTCCCAGATCCAGCCGTAAGGAGTGACATTGCATGGAAGTGATAAAAGCAAACCAAAACTCTTTGACAAGTTCAATAATTACTGTGGCAAGTGCTTTCTCATGCACCTCAATTCTGCTCATCCAATTCTTTTGCAAATACACTTAGTTTCCGTTACTCAGAAATGTACAAAAATAAATCGTGCAAGATATGAAGTTATTACATACCCATTAGATTGAATAAGCGAAATGGTGACAATTGGAATGTTGTCTTTGGAAGAGAAACAAATGCCCAGGAAAGAGCTCCCACCCATGGTTCTGATGGAATTAATCGCAATTTGACCCACAGTTCTCCATCAATGTCAAAATCTCGCACACCCACTGGCACAACGATGGGGAGAATGCTGAATTTGAGTGACAGCATTAAAAGCATTCGTGCACCACCAGTGTAGCGGAGGCCTATCTGGTATCTTGGTAACAGAAAAAAATATCACCATTAAGTTAAACGCAACTCTGAAGTCAAGACAAAACTACTTTTTTGAATTATGAGACAGTAAATACCATTCAAATTTTGTGAGTATATGGCAGTGAGAGATGGCACGTTGAATAAAACGACGAAGTAGAAGTAACTGCTTGGACATATATCATTATATCAATTTCCTATATCCAAATCTTACTTTCTCTGTTGTCTGGATCTCTGTTGCAGTTTCTTGGTTTTAACTTGTACCATATTTGAACCTTGTCTTTGCAGGTATAGTTAAAAAACTTTTAACATCTTACATGTTCCATTACAAAATTCCATACGACTTGTTAGCACACTAGTTCATTCTAACTCAATCTTCACTGTACTTTTGGAGTTTGTTTTAGAAGTACATTGAATCAACACAATTCTCAAAAAAAATATAGAAGCCATAAATATTTGTCACTCTTGAAGATCTTAACTTTTGGCAATTCAAAATTGACAGGTTAAATTCACATCCATGGCAAGTGATAACACATGACAGCTGATACACATGCTAGAAGATTATGCTACAAAGCATAAAGCAAATTTTCAAGCATCGCCAAAAATTATCTACAATAATGTTTCCGTTCATTGGCAGTCTAGTATTTTGTCTACTGGACTCTAAATTAGCAAGCTCCAATTACGAAGGCAAGAAAAACCAGTATGTTTAGCTGAATTTTTTCTTGAAAATGAATTAAGCAATGTCGCAATAGAAAAGACTCACTGTAAATCATTGATCCTCCGAGAAGTTCGACGTTCAACGCTCCTGACGGACAAGGGCTCATCCCCCAAAGAAAACTGCTTAATCTCCACCCTCTGCACATAATCTGGCTTCTTGAGATCGTCAATGACTGGCTGCAACGAGCCAATGATCCAGTTCTCAATTCCAGCCCTGTAGACTTTCCATAGCTTCCCCAGCACCATGTTCACCCACTCCACAGACTCTTTCCTCTGCAAATCCTTCTCAAGAAACATGGATAGGTTGGCAGGCACCTGTGGCCAACTCCCAGGCTTACTGGTAATATTCGTGTTCCTCTTCCGGGAGGTCCATAGCTTGTCGAAAACAACCCCTATGAAAAAGAAGAAAGCAAAGAGGCCAACAATGTTGCGGTTTATCTGAGGAGGTGTTGGGATTGGGTGTATCACCCCCAGCTGAGTTCTCAGCTTATCTACAATGGGGTCTTCTGCAAAACTGGAACTGTAATAATTGCCATTTTTATTACTACTATTACCTGTAGCTTCATTGGATGAATTGTAATCGAATTCATCTCCGGAAAATCGCTTCAAGACTATGTTTTTAGCTCCACGTCTGGTAGCCAAGTTATTGGGATCTATTTTGAAGTGGGATTGGGTATTCCCACCACTGATGCAAGCTTGAACCTGGAGGATTGCCCATCTCACATTTTTTATTATCCTTTTTTTCGGGGTTATGATGTTTCTGCGTCGATAATGGTCATGATAGCAGCTATTATTATCACTACAGGAGTAGAAGCTGCATGGGGGACGGAGAGATGTGGAAGAAAAAGCCAACAACGGCTTTTTCTGTGAAAAATCACAGCAAGGGGGTGTAGTATTTGAATTCGACTGCAAAATCATTAAATTACAAGAACCCAATAAGCAAAACACCAATGGGACGAAGAATCGAGTTGACTGCCGGCCCCCTTATACAGATAAAAACATAATCGATTCGAAAACATGAATTCCGAACTACGAGAAACTGTGTAATTTCAGTTCACGAGCATAAACTTGGAGAAATCTCAAATCAGGAAGACAGAAATTCAATTAAACGAAGACATAGCCCACAGTAGAGCTAAATGTTGATTGTAGTTCACGAATTTTGATTGCGGGAGGATCAAATTGCAAGAGGAGAGGGTTTTGGGGCCTCAAAAAATTGGGGAAAAAATTTAGAAATTTAAGATCGACACATGTGCAAACGACGTGGATAAATTTATATTTGCCAGAAAAACTTTTGCTAGTCATTCTTAATTGAACAGTGGATGGTAGAAATAAGAAACGTGGTCCATGTGGGTCGGAACCGGCCATAGTCAATTTTGCTACACCCTACTACCTTCTTTTTTTCTTGATTAGGTTCAACAACGCGTTATGCATAGCAAGGACTTGTTTAGTAGCCTAAAAAGTTTGAGATTAAATTCATAATTTTTATCAATTTTTCAACGATATATTTCATTAAATTTTATCAAAATTTGCTAATTTTATTTTTATTTTTTCAAAAAAAATTTGCCAAACAACCCCTAAATTTGATGCAACGTCTAGCTAAGTTTAATATACGTGTCACACTGACATCGAAAATTGAAATAGAGCTTTGCTTTATAAACTGTTGTTTTTTATTATAATAAAAAATATTTAAAGTTGAGATAATCCGCGTATTAAGCTAATTAAAAGAGTAGTTGTGTTGATCACTGGTAATTGCATATTATGCAATTATTTTGATTCTACGAGTAATTGATAAACTGAATTGTATTTGTTAAATTGGAAGCACCAAGGGAGTAGTCGGAGGCGATTCAAAAGTTTTGGGAGTAAAATTCAATTCTTAGAAAGTTTGGGGACTAAATTACGAACTTTCAAAATTTGAGATGGACTAATTTCAAATGATTATTAAGTTTCGAGGACCAATCTTGAAGATGATGAAAGTTTTGACATCAAAATTAAAGTTCAGGTTGTGAAAGAATCAAAGTTGGACAAAAATTTGAAGAAAGTTCCAAGGCTGCGCGAAAAAAGGTTGAATTGGGGAACACTTGAATGAAGATGGAAGGAAAAAAATAACGACAATGCTACTTGTACAAAGTGGCTTGATAAATTGGGTTTACAAAGTGATATAGCAGGAAATTAAAAGACTTAAATATCCTTCCTATATTCTTTAGTTAAATCAAGAATTTCTATAGCCAATATAGGATGACTTTGATTTAATTCTTCTAATAAATAGAAAAGTCAATTATACTCGTATTTATCTATATATCTTTTATCAAAACAATCGTTTAATGTTCTAATTTTATTTTCTATTTTATTAATTTCTCTATTAATTCGAACTGTATTTTCTTTCCAATATAAAGACACGGGTATATTTTTATTATTTTTAAGAAAATAATCAAGCGCGATATATAATGATTTTATTTCTTCTATTTTTTTTTCAGAGTCAATTTCTAATTTTCAAATAAAAGTAACTAAAACTTCATAAATAGCAAGAGTGCAAATATTAATGCAAGTATGTAACATAAATAAGAAAGATTTTACAGTATTGAAGCGAAAGTTAAAGACAGATAAATATCAATAAGATTTTCCTCGACCTTGCTTCCATATGTTTGTATACTCGGATATATAAGTGATTGGTTTTGTTTGAGTTTAAGAAAGTAGGCTATGGTCCAACACGGCTTCCGTACTCTTACTAATTTTCTCTTTGACTCTTTTGCATATTTCACAATGGATCACATGGAATCACAATTTTTCTTTCAACTCCTTATTAAAACTTCATATTGAATGGTAACAGGGTTCTCATGACTTTCTCTAACAACGCTTCAAATGCCTACACATGGCTAAACGACAACAAGATACTTGCACTAACTTTCAAGGTTTTCACCGTTAGCGTATAAGTAAGATAAGCGTTTTTGAGAAAACAATAAGGATAAAAAGACAGCATCTTCAAACAAATTTAATTTCATAAACACATCACACTAATATCTCTTACATAAGAGTATACATTCATATTTCAGCTACACTTTTGGTACTTTCTCTAAAGAGATTATAACTCCATAGAGATTACTTTATTACAAACTTCACTTGAAAGACAGGAACTGAAATGGTTACAAGATTTGAAAAACTAGATAGAGATATATATTTTTGCTTAAGAATTCGATGCCTTCTTCTGAGAATTAGTCTTCCTTTTATAGACTCGAAAAAGCTCTACAGCTGTCCTTCATTATTGTTGTGTTACTGTCTAAGATTGTGGGTATCTTACTGTGGCCTAAAGTTCTTCGTCTTATTATGGAAAATAATTGAGGTAAACCCATGGTTTTTCTTTTATCAAAAATGCTTTTGATAAAGTAATGATAAAGTGGTCCTCCACTTTTCCATATGTTCCTTACTGTTCCATATAAGACTCAAACCACTCATCCGAAAATTCATCTTGATCAAGAAATATTGGTGAGCCATCTTCTTCATTGCTACAGCATTCACACTTATGATTTGGGTAACGCCAAAACTGTTTGCATAGCTCATTTTTTGTCTTCTGTATTCCACTAGCATCTCCTCGATAAATATAATAACACCATGTATCCAGATAGTGTCAATCTT